TTTATTTATTTTCCATCGAAAAACAGAGCTGATTTTTGTTTGTTTTTGGGGTGTAGTGTTTCTCCCTGTATATTCTTACCAAACTAAAAAGAATAAAAAGAATAGAAACGTTCTTTTCCATTTCTAGGTGTGGTACTGCCATTCTCCCATTTGCGTGGTTAGAAACAAAGTCATTTTGACATTTCGCCATGAATTTTCCCTGTGAGATAACTCTCATTTCATTCTGTTCTTGTCTTCTTTTCTCAAATTCTAGGGCCTGTTATCCTGAACTTGAACTTTGCAGCGCTCTTCTCAATGGCTCTTCTATCTCATCTCAAAACCATCAAGCACACTAATGCCCGATTCACTGTTCTCATCATATAGAAATTTGTAAACTAAAACTGATCCTGAATACTGCCTGTTTCCAAGGGGTCAAGACCAAATGCCTTGTGAAGGTGGGCTCTGGAGCCAGACTTGGAACTTGCTTTGGCCAAAAGAATTTGGTAAAAGTGAACAGATCTTGGTGTGCTTGTGCCCTCTCTCTCACATCTCTGCCTCCCACAGGTTCACCTTCTAAAAAATCAGATGCATAGTGCTGTGCACAGGGGCCTTTCTGGACCCAACACAGTGACCTAGTTCTCTAAAAGGCAGCACAGGATAAGCTGCACACACACACCTCCAGCATCACTGGCCCCATGCATGCAGCAACATCTGTGTGAAGAACCTGTGTGTGTAAGAGTGTGTGTGTCCATGTATGTGTGCACACATGTGCACACCCAAGCACTCTCCTGGGCTTACACTTGTGTGTATACCCTCACTCTCCTCCTTTGTGGTAAATATATCTGCTTCAAATTAGAGTTACACATCTCTTAACGTTTTGCTGCACTTACCACAAACTAACAGGCCCTGGGGCTTGGCTCACAGGTATGTTTTAGTTGGCTTCCAGTGAGGTTTTGTTTGCTCGCTTGTCTTGTTTTTTATTTTATTTTGTTTTTAATGGCTTTGAGTATGATGCACACACATTTGCACTATCTAAATGGATCCCAGAGGCATTTAAATTTGCAACAACAGACTTTTTGCTTTCAAACATGATCTAACAAAAGACATGAGTTATTTAATTTAGAAGGGAGAGGGTTACTTGAGGTAACTTGCTTGCACCCTTGTAATAAAAGGAGCTGGACTAAAACAGGAAATAAAATCTCTTACAATGCCTCATTTTGACTGTATTGAGAATTTTTCTTTACAAGCGATTTACAAGTTAAAAAGAGATTAGTACTTTTATCCACACAAGAATGCAAGCATGTGGGATTGGCCAAAGAGTTCTGCTGGGTAAAGTTCTCCATCTGGGTATCTGAGGCAATGGTGTTTTGCCATAAATTGTCAAGTGCAATGCAAAATTTCTTTATACTAATAAAAGTTAAAGAATCAAAGACTTAAGAAAACATTTAAAATATAAGATTGTATTCAAGTAACTTTCACTCACTGCATTCTAAAGTGTGTGTGTACCTTCTCTCTATCACTGGAAGAGAAGGAGGAAGAGAGAGAGAGGGTTTGGAGGAGAAAAAGAGTATTTATGTTTGTTAGAGTTAAGATTCTAAAAATTTACCTGGCCCCCAAACATCCCTGGAACTGTGGCTCTCATGGGAACATCTTTGGGGATCTTCTCTAAATAAAGGTTAAAGACTTGGGAACAGCTCTCTAGGGAATGGTTTAATTACAGAGCTACTCCATCATATTAATTATCCTCAGTACCTGGTCCTTCATAGTTACCCAAGAAATAGTTCCCGAATAAATAAGCACCACTTAGACTAATGTTAGAATTTTCTAAAAATCTCTTGAGATACAAGGTTGAATTTTCCCAAAGAAATCATACTTCTTCTCCCTATAGATTTTTCATAAAACTCATACACACACACACACACACACACACACACACACACACACAAACAAAACAAAACAAAAACCCAACAACAACAAACTCCCCTAAGCTCTCAGGGTCTTCTGCTCTTAGTGTCTCTTCTATAGACAATTTTTATAGCCTCCTTCATGGTATGTCCTGATCCAGACTCTGGGAATACAGATAAAAGATGTAATAGCTCATTATCTCATGGTCTGGTTTAGGAGTCAATTACACTCAGATATATATATATATGGTTAAAAATATAAATGCTCCTTTGGATGATTGAATGAAGTGCTACAGGCCAAACTGCTGGAGTCCCCTCCCAACCTCCCTCACCCCTAGCAGTCTTTCCACAGAAGCCACAGTTTTTGAACCATAAAGGGTGAGTATTTTTAATTGCAACTGCATTGGGTAAGTCACAGAAACCTAAAAGGCTGGAGATAAGTTTGGGCCACTTTGTGAGGGGCCTTCTCTATACAAAAAGCTAAGAGATTTGAATGGATTTTTTGTTGTTGCTCATAACTAAGAGTGAATGGGGGGAAAAAAAAAAAAAACCTATCCAGAGGAGTAATGTGATTCATTTGGTGTTGTGGGAAGGCCTGCATGATAGCAGAGAGACTGTAGGAGGCAAGATCAGAAGGAAAGAAGCAGTAAAAAGGCTAGTGTAGGATATAGCACATTCTATACACTCCTCTGTCCCTACTGTGTCTGTAGCACAGAGCCCATTTAAGAGATGGGGCAAAAGTGGTTATTAATCATAAACCAAATCACCAAATGAGGTCCCAGAGGCCCCAGGCATGGAAGGAGCAATCTCTGAAAAGCTGACAGGGAACTCACCATGGGGATGGGAGAGGGAAAATTTCAGGCCTCCAGTGCGCGAAGGATGAGGCAGAGGATGAGAGTTAAATAAGTAGGAAGACCAGGCTATGCTGAGCTTATGGAGTAGAAAGACCTGAGGGGCTCAGGGTGTTCAAGGACAAGGAGCAGCTCAGGGATCCACTAACTGTTCACTAACTGTTCAGGCTTGGGGTCCTGCCTGACCTCTGGCACAAACGTTCGGCCACATTCTAGCCCAGGCCACATTAGCATCCAATCTTACACATTGGTTTTTGGGGCAGCCTCTGTTACATCCCCTGCGAGCTCATCCTTACCTTTCCCCCCTCCCCTCACCCCATGCTGATCCCCAGTTGTTCCTTTTTGGAGGTTGACCAACTTGATCAACTGCTTCCTATTGTAGACAAGGCACCCCCCCTCTCTGTCGTCGTCGTCTTCTTCTTCTTCTTCTTCTTCTTCTTCTTCTTCTTCTTCTTCTTCTCTTCTTTTTAATAAATCTTTATTATTCGTATTATTACAAATGTTCCTCATTTCCCCCCCTCCATTGCTCCCCTCCACCAGATTCCCGCCCCCACCCTCTGCCCTTTCCCCAGCCCCCATCTCCTCTCTGTCTTCTGACTCAGAGATAAGATGTTCCCTGTTCTTTGAAAACCATATAGACCCTCTCTCTGTGCTGACAATCCTTCTACCATTCATTTTCTCACTTAGTTATTCACTGACAAAGATTTGTTGAACATAAACAACTATTTTAGGCACTGGGACACATAAAAGCATTGAATACAAAATGCAAGATCTAGGCTCCTGTAGAGCTGACATTTTAGATGCGCAGGTAGAAAACAAGCAATGACCAAATAAATGAGTTAGAAGACTTCTAAGTAATAAGTGCTAAAAAAAAAAAAAAAAAAAAAAAAAAAAAAAAAAAAGAGTAATAAGAGTTCCAAAAATCCTCTTGAGTTTCCTATCTCAACATATTTCAGATAAACCACCCTTAGGATTTGACCTAAGCCAAATCCCTGGGAAGCATCTTGAATGCATCCTTCTCACTCATTTTTCGCTCTTAATTATCAGACACCCCGTCATGTGGATTCCAAGTGTCAGGGGCTCTCAGATCCATCTGTTCTCCATCTCAATGACACAATGCAGGCACCATCACTGTTGCCCAAATTACTGTAGTATTCCCTTGACTGGTCTCTGCTCTCTCAAGTCTTGTCCTCTTCCTTCATGTCATGCCCCTGCTTAAAACTGCTCAGTAGTTTCTCTATAGTTTCTCAAGTCAAGTGCAAACCCATTAGCATGCAAGGTCTTTCATTACCTGGAGCCTGCTGAACTCTTCAGTCCTGCTTCCCTACACTCACCTGCCCCATACAGGTCCACTCAGCCATATCTGCAGATCTGCATGCCCAAGTGTACACACCCTCATATCTTTGACATGCTGTCCCCTCTGCATATACTTCACTAATTTCTTTGTTCAAAACTCATATCAAGTGTCACCTCATTTGGGAAGAACCATGCAGTTCTTATGAGGGTTACATTGAGAAGGGATGATGGCAGAATGATGGCATTCAGCTACGTCTTATTTCCCCAATGGAGTGTCACATATTTGGAGCACACATAATTAGCCTATAAATAAAGTTTTCCCATTTGCAATAAACCATCTCAGAATACAGGCTTGGGTGGGGGGAAGGGGAGAGAATTGTCTCATCATTTTCATAAAATGGACTCACACATAGGACATTTTCCTTCTCTTTTATGTTTTTTGTTGCTTGCTACGTGTTGTTTTAATTTGAGCTCCTAAATATTATTCTTAAATGGCCTGGAAGTGATTCTGATGGGTTACAAGATAGGCGAAAAATCCCGAGACCTCCCATTGGGACAGCACACACAGTAATGATTCACTGCAGACCCTGACCCTGAGCATTGCCTGCACATTTGCAGCCTCTCCTGGCTCACAGGGCCCTGGGCGAATCCACCAACCTGTCAGTCTCCTGGAAAGATCTGCAACCACACGCCTTCGCCAAACCAAGATCTATCAGGAGATGCCCTTCCTGGCTGACCTCTGACACTGTAGCACTGACCTTCTATGGGCCCTTAGGAATGCCGTGTGACATGAAAAGCTGCTTTCTAAGAATGGATTCTCCTCTGGACACCAGTTCCCTGCTAAGGTTGTCTCCAGCATGGGCACACAAGAGGGTCTCCAGCTGTTGCTATCATACTAGGTCAGCACCTGTACCATCTGTATCTCGGAATGACAGTCCCCAGCATGATATACAAGACACAGCTCTCTTACTTGCATTCAGCAGAGTCTGGATCTTCTTCTCTTCTTCAGCTTCTTGGAGTAGCTTTTCTGCCAGCGTCTTGTCCTCTGATTCCACGCACATGTCTGCTTCCCGAAGGTACTCTAGGTAGTCAATCTCCCGCTGGGCGCGCTCGACCCTCAGGGCCAGGTTGTTCACTGCACTCTTGTACTCATTTGTGTAGGTGAGGCATTGCCCCAGCATAACGGATATGTTTTTTGAGAACTCACGGAAGTCTTGAATGTATTCTCTTGTTGTTTGGGTACATTTTTGCAGTCCTTGCTTCAGACAGAAAAGAAATTCCGAAATTACTGCTAGTTATTGAAGTTACCCAAGTAATATAAATAGCTATCATTCATTAAGATTTAAAAAATACAAATAATCAAAAAGAGGGGAAATAAAAATCACCCTTAATTTCTTACTTTAAAGTGGTATAGATACTTCAATGTATCAGTTTTAAGTTTTCTCATGCATTTAATCCTATATATTTTTTAAATGTTGGGCAAGTTGGTGCTGAATGTTATGATTGAGTATAACTCCGGCACTTTTAAGGAGGTGGGACTGGGGAGGAATGGTCTGAGGAGAGAGCGAGAGAAGAAGCAGCAAGAGGCCGCTGGCCTGGTAACATCTCATCCACGGCCTCCAGCCTCAGTCCATTGGCCGGACAGCATTGGGCCTGCTCTGCGGAACGGTTTTACCCTGACTGTACCCAGATGACCAAATAATTTGGAGTTTTAAGACTTTTCAGGAAAATACTGAAAATAAATATTAGAGATCAGAATGTCTTTGAAAGAAGATAATTTATCAAATTTTAACTTGTACAAAAGCAAGACGATTAAGTATGAGATAGTCAATGCCAACACCAGGGTTTGGCAGAAGGGCACATTTGTCCCTGGGAACCTGTTCATGCTACAAAAATGTAGCGTTTTGCAAAGTTCAAAGTGGTAGCTGCAAAGTATGGAGAAGTGGGAGCTGCAATGTATGGAGAAGAGGCCCAGGCACTTTCTCCGTTTCGTATTGCTGAAATCTGCTCACTTCTAAACCCAAGTCCAGTTTGGCCAAAGAAGCTAGGGCGGCTTCTTGGCACAATATCACGACTTTTTACAGCGACCTAACGGTTTCTCCTAAGAAGACGAAAGGCAAAGCTAAAATTAGCTCTCATCCTGCTAAAGAGAAAATGTAGAAAAAGTGACCCCAAATTTTAACTTTCAGATTTTAGAAGTTGTACCATCACATAATAACAATTTTGGACGTTTACCAGTATGTCAGGCAATGTTCTAACTATGAAGTAATATTAAATCTTCAGAATAGCTTTAGGAGGTAAACGCTATGAACATCCCCATTTTACACATGAGAAAAACCGTGCAGAGGGAAGCCCTGCTCAAGGTCTAGGAGGTGCGTAGTCTGGATTCTGGTGCTCTAAACCGCTAGATCGTACAACATTTCAAGTGTAACCGTAGCACCATAGCAATGTGTTTATCATTGACTATCCAGAAAAATGCACCCATGTACACAGGGAAACATGGGTAAGAGAAGCATGTTCCTGTATCAGGCTCACCGATGACACCTACCTCTAAGACGTGAAAGCGCTGGTAGATGTAGTGCACCATGCCTGGGTCCTGAGCACACCGCGGCGGGGGCACAAAGGCTGAGAGGAATAGAACCAAGAGAGCAGAAGCTCGCTGAAGGGCCAGCATCGTCCTGCAAAACACCCGGGGGTGGAATCTTCTATGCGGGGCCTCTCGAAGAAGACTCCAGGGTCCAGGTAGCGGTCTCTTGGTTTCCAGCCGCTGCCGTGAAAATCCTCTAAAAACAGCCAGACAGCAAAGTTTGCTTGTTATTCCACCAGTTGCATGATCTCACTTTGCAAGCTGGTGATCAAATCCAGCTGTTGGCAAGCCGGTCCCTGGAGGCCTAGTGGGCTGACTTGGGATAGAGAGCTTCCTGGGTCAGCATCTGTTGGCATCACCCTTGACACACAGGGAGCCTCCCCAGGCGAGTGCTGCATCCTGCTTCTGGGCCTGGCTGAATGTGCATTGGGGTGGGTGCAGCAAGGGCTTCTCTCCTCTCCCCAACTCTTACTTTTGCTTTCCCTCCCCCAGTGGACTCTGCAGTCCAATCACAGCCCCGACGACACACCACTCCCAACTTCTCAGAGCTGGAATCTCAGCTTTGTTTCTGGCAAAAATTCCCAGGATTCTTTTCCCAGAAGTCCTATTGGGAGACCCCACCCCTCCTCCAGACTCTCTTTGCATTCCTATACTCTTAAAGGCACAGCAAGGAGAAGAAAAGCTCAGTTATGCATAGGGCTGATTGCCCTTGGAGAGAGATACAATGGGCTTTAGGGCTGGCCAACCAGGCTGATAGCTAAAAAATCTAAGGGTTGAGAACAGAAGAGTTTTACTAAGATGCACAACAACCATTAGTGATGCTCCTGGGACTAAGGCATCAGGAAATGGAGCTCCTACAAGGAAGCCCTTGATTTATCTGAGTTCCTAGTGACAGATGTCCCTTCACCAGGCCAGCAATACATAGAACTCGATTCCTATGGCTTTAGTGCTGTTGAAGATAAATCACATCCTTAGGACAAAATCTTCTAGTTTTTGCCTTTGTTGTGCAGGCCTTTAGTTATCTCACCCTCTCCTTCCATGGATGGGTCCAGGATACCCATCATTCTTTCTCAAGCACCTACCAACATAGGGAAGGTTGGGCATCTCTGGGATGTGGAAGGAACCCTGGCCAGGAGGCAGAAGACCTGGGTTCCCAGAGACACTAAAAGACAGAAATTCCAGTGTGGCCCTTGCCTGTCCCTGCCTCCTTAGATGTTCCTTTCTACCTCTCTTCCAGGTGACCTTAGCCCCTACCTGTGCTGCCCCACGCCCTTGGTAAAATGACAAACACTGACTCCTCATCCTCAGAAACAATTCCTCCTGTTTATGAGAACCATCTTTGAACTATTCTCCAAGCTAGCCGAACTTCAGCTGGTCCTTCCTCTTAAATTCTTATTAAAAATACTGCTCATTGCCGAATCCGGTTTGGCTCAGTGGTAGAGCATCAGTCATCAGCCTCATAGGGACAAGCTTAGTCTCTCTGCTCCAACTGAACCCACATGGTCTTAAACGGCTTGACTCTTCTGGATCCCACAGGTAGCAGAGCCCCGCAGCTGGCTCCCTTGAGCCTTAGGAGTGACAAGCCATGGGGCAGACTCAGAGTGGAAACCCTCATGTTCTTGTGACCAGAGGCTTCATAAAGGAAACATAAACTCACCTTGGAGATAGTCACAGGGTTGACTGACAGACAGTAGCCAACTCTGACCATCTTCATTCAGAGCAAGCCTTATGAATGGACAGCAAAAGATGGCTTGTGCAGTCTGCAATTGGGATAAGATTACTCACGTGGTTCTTTTGCCTTCTTCACCTTTAACCTCTGGCTTGACCACTGCCATCGCTCAGTAGTGAGGACAGTGACCTGCCACAGTGTCCTGAGAGAGGAATCTTGGCAGCCACCACTATGTCGTCCATGTGGCTGGATCTAGCTCACTAGTCCTTGGTGACTGTTTCCCCTAAATGATCAATCAGAACTGGACAAATTGACACCCAGCCAACCAGCCCACTGACCTTGTCCAGCTTCCCAGGTGCTCTTGGGGTTCTTTGCCACCTTCATAACCGGTGGTCATTTCCTGCTGTGCCTCCATAGGAACCGAGCCCCTGATTTCCAGAGCCTCCTGTGCCTCCAGGGTCCTCCATGTTACTGAGCTGTGCTGACCAACTCTGCAAAGTGTGAAGAGGAGACTGTCTTCTTGAGGACATCTGGGATTCTAGAATTCAGATCACTCAGATCTGAACAAGATGTCTCATCTTTTTGTCTTCTCTTCCCTTCTCTTTCTTCTCCGCTTTTCTCTTTATCCTTCATTCACCACTCAGGCCCCTACCCCCATCCTAATAGCTTTTTGTCATCTTCCAATGCTCCAACCTTTTACAAGTAATTACATTTTTTTCTGCCTGAGTGATGGGAGCAGCCTCTAATTCTTTGTTTATGTTTTCAGATAAAGCACTGGCTGAGTTTATGCCAAAAGGAAAGCCCTTGACAATAATCTCAGCCAACCCCTCTTGCTTCAGCTCTTACATCTCCCACCTCCCACCTCCACATCAGCCTCATCTAATCATCCCCAAACTCCTTACGACATATGACATCATGGTGTCTTTGCTTGACAATATCCTCAGCCTAGAATGTTCCTCTCTGTTGGAACCAGTGAATTGTTACTCATTCTTCGGTTCTTTGTACCACTTCCTCACTCCCATCCCCGCAGAATAATCCTTTCTTTCATCTGTTTTCATAACACATTGCAGTCTGAATCTTGGACCTGGGCTCATCTGGACATTGGTGCCGTGGGTAGAGAGGTGGGGGACAATCGAACCTCCCGGTGCATAGGTTGACATTCAACTGCGGGACCACTCTGGCCCGGCATTACGTTTAATCAGTCATGAAAACTTACTAATTTTAGCACCTAAATATATAATATATCAAATATGCCCTCTTCTCTCTTACCCTTTTATCCTGCTGCTTCCTTACTTAGGGTTTCTTTATGTCCCATTTTTAATTCATTTAACAACTGTTTGCTCCAAGTCTTGGACTACGCATTATAGACATGCAATTATGGACAGGATAGACACATTCCTTGCCCTCGCAGAGGATACAGTCCAGAAGGGGAGGCTTAAGTTAATTATGCAGTGACAGAGCCAGCACTGAATGAAGTGACAGCATGGGGGCAGAGCCTCTGAGCTCAGTGCATCAGGGGAGCATTTAAAGGAGGTGACATCTAAGCTGAGACTTGAAGGATGAGAAGGAGTTAACCCTACAAAGTGGACAGCAGGGAGGAGAGAAGGGAAAGGCTCTAGGCAGAAGCAATAGCATGTTCAAAGACACATAATCCAGAGAGATCTTAGCGGACCTGGAGGACTGATCAAAGTTTCCTATGAACTTTCAATGACTGGGTGATGGGGCTGGAAGAGTACTGTCGGTCAGGTTCCCTGGAAACAGACTGTGAGACTAACTTGCATGTAAGACATGTGAGGGGGTGGTTTTCTCTGGAACAATACCTGTTGGGAGAGAGTGAAGCATAAATGGGCATAGAGGAAAGCTGCAATGCAGTTGCCACATGGGCCTCAACCAATCTCACAGGAGCTCTGGAACATACACGTCTCCAATTAAGGCTAGGGGACCCCGCTTTAGCACCCGTGCATCAGGCAGTCATTGCCAAGGGCTAGGTGTATAATCGTGAACAAGTCAGAATCCTCTCGAGTGGCAGTATTCTTTCCTGAAGCCAGGAGTCTGGCCCTATCTCTTCGCAGCTCTCAGCATGGACAGCTGCCTGCCCAGCATTCATGTGGTGGATCAGTCACAACCTCCCTTTGCTCTTTGAAATAAAAACCATGTGCACCAGTTCCCCAGAGCTCTCAAAGCCTCATTGTGATCATTCTGCTTTGACGTTTGAAACCCACCTGGGTAGTTTCCTGTGAGATGATGGTCTCTGGAGGCTGCGTGTCTGGTCCTAAGGGACACTTGTCACTTGCCAGGTGAGCTGGCTGAGCTCAGGTGGCCTATTTGAAGTCTATTCCTGCAGCATCTGGGAGCCATGTCTCTGCCAGGAGCTTCTGAAGTCTTGCTGCCATGTGGCTGGGGATGGCTTCAGAATAGAGGGGGCAGATGTGATGAGAGGTACCAATGGGGACTGGACATGACCTGCGACTTCTAGGGGTAGGAAAGGTGTGGCTGCAGCTAGAGAAAACCTGCTGGCCAGGAAATGATGTCATACTGCCTGACAGTCACCTGCATAGAGCTCCTTCCCAAGGAGGCCCCAGGGCCAGGACTGGTTAGGAAAAGTTGGAAGCTGAGTTTTTAAAACAAAATTTTTTTTATTGATTTCAGGGAGGAAGAAAGAGAGAGAGATATCAACGGTAAGAGAATCATCGATCAGCTACCTCCTGTATGCCCACACTGGGGATCAAGCCAGCAATCTAGGCATCTGAATGGGAATTGAACCATGACCTCTTGGTTCATAGGTCAACGCTCAACCACTGAGCCACACCAGCTGGTGGGAAGCCTGGTCTTACGCAGGCTCTGTGGCTTCCTCAGCACAGAACCACCCTTGGTCTCTGCTGTAATGGTTCCCAAGTAAGTGAAGCCTCTGGGGACCTATAACCATATAGTCCACTGGGAACAGACCCCAGGACTAAAAGCTGAAGGGCTAACCCGTCCCCAGAGAGTATCTGCTTGGGTGATCTCAGTTCAGTGTTCCAGCCCAAAATATTGTCAATTTTGTGCAAAATATTCATTTGAGCCTTCAGCCACTAGAGGGCAGACTTTTCAGGTGTTGCCTGACTATGACTATGGTCATAGTCTGTTTCTTTTTGAGATTTGAATGTAAATAAAAAACCCTCCTCCACAGTCTGCACTGGGTTCTCGGCAACAGGAGCCCGGGACTACACAGGCCCACCCCAGCCACAGTTCCTTAGACTCAGAGACACTCAGACACCAGAGGTGGACGAGCACAGAACACACTGGGCCCATCCTCCTCACGTGAGAAGAAGCAGGAGCCACGGTGGTCTCAGTGGCACAGGCAGGCGCAGAGCTCTGGGCCAGCCCCGATCCATGGCTCTCTCCATGCTGTTTCTGGGTCTTTGCTCAGTGTTTCTCA